GGATGAGTCCACTTAATCCCTACTGTCGTCCCGGATAGGTCCACTTATACCTCACCGGCGAACCGGATGAGTCCACTTGCATACTTAAATTATTTCTAAATCTCTTTAAACATTCGAAAGCAGCAATATCATGTACTCAACATATAACTAAAATCATTAATATGATATTTCACTAAAACCATTAATAATGGTCACTTTCAATAACATTTCAAAAATAACCAATCAAATATTTTGCGCTCAAATTTAGAAAGGTAGCAGTTCGTAAAGACATTCTAGCATAATTGCCAATTTAATATGTATAGAAAAACTCTTATAGAAATTCAAGAATACGTAATTATCACAATTTATGGGATAGCAATTCACAAATAAACATTTCACAACAATGCTATAATCAATTGCAAAAATATCAATTTTTTAAATAATAAGGCAGTCATTTGCACATGAAATTTACAATGCCTAAATATTCAAAACAGTAGAAAGAAATCTTAAAATTTTACTAACAACAGAAATATCATATTTATTTCTAATAATTTTACAGTATCTAAAATTCTCTAAAAATAGACAAGAAAAAATAAATAAATTTATTTTTAAAAATTTACAGCATTTAAAATTTCTAACATAGATAAAATATCACAATATTGGGTATCGTACACCACAATTGTATGGACAAGAACGGACAAATCATTGAAAACCCCCAAAACATAATCTCCAATGGTCTCAGGAGTTTCATGGATGGATTCAGGAGCCGGATAAGCCCTAAGCCCCAAATTTCATCCCAAATAGATACCCATAGACCCTACCTTCCGAAAATTTCATTCCTAATATATCTTCCACCCCAAATTGGGCAAATCTAGACCCTCCGTTCAGAGAAAAGAAGATTGTACTCTTTAGGTGCACGACTCGGTTCGTCAAATATATCGTTCCTATCTAGGTATGATTAAAAATTCACACAAATTTCCTAATTTTAAGATATTACTCAAGATTTCTCACACTTAAGGCCGGGAATGGGCTTGGAAGCTTCTAGAAGGCACAGAAAGAAAGGTGGTGCAATTTGGGTATGTGGTCTAGAGACGAGATGTGTGCACTCTGCACAGCAACACGTGGGCTCTGCGGAACCCCAAATGGTGTATCAAAATCCATTGGTCAATTTGGCTCAAAATGGTAGTAGAAAGAGAGCTGGGGGGTGGGGACTGAGTTTCAATAGGTTTTCATATGGGTTTTAGGCTAAAAGGTGTGCCATAGGGCATGCTGATTCTGATTTCTGAAATGAAGGGTGGTGCAAGAGTTTTGGGTAGGCGGTTGTAAGGTTTTAGGACCAAGAGTCTAGGGTTTAGGTACTTAGGAATTCCTCAGCCAGGATGGGGTGTCTACACAAGATTATTTAGATAGCTAAGGTAATTCAATAATAAGCAACCAGAAAAAACAGAGGAATCATAAATGAAGTAAAAAGAGGTGAACGGTAAGAAGAAAAAAACCCCATGTATATTACCCCATAAGGGGAAAGTTTATATAGAGCCGAGGCTCTAAACAATCAAATTCGAGCCTATCCCAAAAATTTTACTAAAAGAGGTTGTTTTGATGCCCAAGTATCCTCCAATTGATCATCTCGACATCAACCTGCATGGACATGAGAAAATAATGGATTTCAAGTTTTGGAAATAGCACATTTTTGGACCGTCAATTTTCAAGATTTTGAAGGTTTCATAGATCTCTCGATTTACACTATTTTCTAAGTTTTAATCTTTATGAATAAAGATGAAAATATATTTTAAAGCTATCAAAAAGATTTTTAATATTGAAACCACATTTCTCGATGCTATTTGAAGGTAGGCTCTAATTTGAATGTTTAGAGCAGCCTATGCTCTATACAAACCGCACCCATCACATAATAGTGCAGTTTCATTTTCTTGATTTAGTCTTCAACAACACAAGTGATTAAGACAAGCCCATAAAGGAAAGAAGAAAATAGTCCAAAGGCTCAAAACATCAAGAAATTACATCTTATGGCTGCCAATACAAATGCTAAGACATATTTTCGGTCAACAATTATCTTTTGGGTAGTTCTGGTTCATCCATAAACATGCAACCGAAGAAAAAGAGATATCATAAATAACAAAAAGAAGTGGAGAAAAATTTGCAGCGCAGTATACCTATTGCTTCACCTCACATGCCGTGGCTTCCTGTCCATACCCATTTCGAGAGACGGCAGGTGGTGCAAGTCTTTGCAAATTCTCCGATCCCTTCCCATTACCAAACAATTGTTTCCTCAAAATGTCATGCAAATGCCCATAGAGCTGCCTCTTCAATGAATCGAAAGCGGCATCCAACCTCTCAATTTGCCCAGTCGAATTTACATTATACATAAACAACCCATAATAGAGATCGAAACTATCGCCTGAAGTGTTCTCGACCAGATTCAGCAAAGTTTCATAGCCTTTTGTATTGATTGGAGTTGATTGCAACTCTAATTTTCCAAGCATTCTGCCCACTGTATGTGTTATAAACTGAGATTCAGCAGCATGGCGGTCGTGCTCCGAACATGACATTTCTACCATTCTACACCCTTCTTTTGCAAAAATATCGAGAAATTTTTGGCACCTATCTTCCTTATATTCATCGCTTCCTATTCGAACCTTTTCGTAAACAAATGGCAATCCTTTCCACCCATCCTTTCCACTTTCAGGTCCAAACATTGGATGGGTACATAAAACATCAAACTCTTGAGGTAAAATCTGTAAAAATAGGTTTCTGGGGAACTCTTTAACAGAGAGAACATCAACAAATAGAGTGTTTCTCTTCAATCTCTGTGTTGGTAATGATCTCAACACTGATTCAGTGGAAATGATCGAGGTGCAAAGTAAGATCACTTCTGGGTGTTCTTCACAAAGGTCATGCGGATCTCTAAAGAATGAAACCCCAATTTTCACAGCGATATCAGAGTAATCAGATCGAGAATGAGCGAGAACAGTGTGACCTTGACGAATTAGGGCTTTTGCAAGGAATTGGCCATAATTTCCAAATCCTACTATACCAATCTTGAGTTTTGAGCTTTTCTCATGCGCCTCCATGATCCTGGCCTCGTAATCAAAAGGCTGAGCAGCATCTAGAGCTCGGATTCGAGGCATGACAAAAAGCTTAGAAGCCCTTTGTTTAACTCTGAAAGTTGCAGGGAGAGAAAAGGCAGACATTGAAGAAAATGGTGAACAAAATTGGGTTTTATGGAGAGAGACTGGTTTTATTGGGGTTTCCATAGATGGAAGAGTCAGCATTTTAGCTATTCTGCTCGAGCCACAATGCTCATTACAACTGTAAAAATGGACGCTTAAACCCCAGAAACTTTTCAATCTATGGTCCATTGAAGTTGAAGAGAGCTCTCAAATCTGAAAACTGAAAACTGAAAACTGAAAACCTAGAAATTCGCCCAATGGAGTATGCCATTAGAGCTCTAATAAGAGATTTGAAACCCTTAAATCTTTATCCCAAAGATCCTCCGTGAAGAGAGCTAGCCGGCAACTCTGTGGCAAAGAAATTTGATCACGCGAGGCCACGACAAAAAAACGCACGAACGGGGAAGAGCGAAATGCCAAAATATTTTATGCTTCCGCATGCGTATATTGCCCATGTGCTCCCTCCGGTAAATTGTAATTATAGGACTCCAAATTTGGTTGATGTAGGCTTTTCAAGCCATAATCTGACCTCCTTAAGAAAAGGATGTTGTTTCCATGAGGCACAAACCTTTAAAAAAAAACAAAGAATAAGTAAAGCTTCATCTCGAAACCTAAAAAATAAAAATGGGCATAGGAAATCTCGAAAAAATTTGTAGCTTAAAAAATAGTACAGATATTGTAGATATGTGAATATTTGTAAGTAGACAAACTGCATAATGTATTATAATAGAAGTTGTTTTTAGGGTTTGAAACCCCCTCTTTTTTTAATAGCCACAACAATCAGGTCGGGATGATCGGTTTGAAGGTTTTATAACATCATAACTGTAATTTTTCACAAGTTTTGAGGTAAGGCTTTACTCATTTTGATAAGGCTGCAACCCTATCAAAACATTTACTCTAAAAAAAACTCTATATAGCAATCTTTATGTACTTGAAAAAAATAATATCTCGAGATTGAACAAAAATAATCCACATTCGTGACATGAGATAAAGTCTTAGAGAACTTGACATAAAATAGTCCACATTCTTGTTTTCCAAGATGATCCAAAATTTATAGTTATAACTCTTTTAAAGTGGATTTTTCCACCCTAGGGAGTAAGTGGAAAATAGTCCACATTCTTGTTTTCCAAGATGATCCAAAATTTATAGTTATAACTCTTTTAAAGTGGATTTTTTCACCCAAGGGAGTAAGTGGATAATAATAATCCCATAGTAGCATAACATACATGGCCATTAGTAATTACCTTAATAACATGAGCTATCCTCCCTCCCACAAATTCATGCTCTTCATCTAAAAGTATTATTTAGTTAAGGAAAAAGTATCGAATTACCCACAAGGGAGACACAAGTTAACACTTTACGCAAACCTTTTGGTTTCTTTTTAAAAGACCCACAAAAAACCGCATGGTCTCGAGTTGGAATACTTGCAATTGACAAAATGTTAATGTTAACTTTCCTTTATTTAAACACGAAACAAAAAGTATATAAGGTAACAACCCTACTTATATGTAGAAGTAAGGTGTAATTTATACTATCTATTTAAGTTAGATTGTTTAGTTTTGACATTATCTTTAAAAAACGTATTAAATCATAATAGAATAATTATATAGTGAGATTATTTACCTTTGGTACAAGGTGATCATATTTAATTTTGACTATTAAATGTGAAATAGATGTGAAATAAAGTTCAAATAAATCTCCTTGGACTTTGGAACACACCGAAGACACCAAGGCATTAGATTTCACATCCGTTGGTTATAGTAATGGTAACTCCCTTTGTATCAAAGATAAATAGTCTTATTATATATAATCTCCTTACAATTTTTGTTTAAATATAAAATTTATAATGCCAAGCTAAAATAAACATTGTAGAACATTGCAATAATTTATACATGTAACGTAACCTAGCGACTAACCTTAATGTAAAAAAGAAAGAAAAAACCATTCAAGTTAGTTTTAAGTATTTTAAATTTATTTTTTTAGCTATATAGATCATCAAACAGTTAATTTCAAAAGGGTGCCGTTTGTATAGAGTCTAGGCTCTAAACAATCAAATTAGAGCCTACCTTAAAATAGAATCGAGAAATATGGTTTAAATACTCGAAATCATTGTGATAGCTTAAAATATATTTTCATTTTTATTTATAAAGTTTAAAACTTAAAAAATAGTATAGATCGATATACTTATGAACATTGAAAATCTTGAAAATTGACAGTCCAAAACTACATTACAAAATATACTATTTTCAAAACTAGAAATCTATTTTTTTCTCATGTCCATGCATATTGATGTCGAGATGATCAATTTGATGATATTTTGACGTAAAAAAAACCTCTTCTAGTGAAATTTTTGAGGTAGGCTCGAATTTGATTGTTCAGTGCCTCAGCTCAATATAAACTTTCCCCATTTCAAAATTTTAGAACTAGCATAATCTCCCTAACTACGTATTTTCATCCAACTGACCAAGAAGACAATGTGATCCCTCGGGAGCACTTGTAAACCCTATAATATCCCTCGCGAGCTCCTTTCTCCCCCTCTCTCTCTCTCTCTCTCTACTAAAACCAGTCTCGCTCTCTCTCTCTAAAATCACATTTCTCTTTCTCTCTCTACCATCGAAGCAAAAATCACAACAATCTTTAGAGCCAAAACCCTCCGAGAGCCCTCTCTCGCCACTTCGGAACAGAGGCAAAAGAGAAGCTCTCCTCCATGTCTGCCCTGGAGATTGAAGCTCGAGAGTAAGCTTCCATGAATCTTACTCTCTTTCGCTCTTTAAGTTTTGTGAATCTTATTTGATTATGTATTCGTGGATTGCTATTCATCGCATACTTGTTGCATCTGATGCATTCGTGGGCTGAACTTCTAGGGTTCCCGCGTCATGAGGAAATTAAGCATTTTAAATCATTTTACTGTTTTCAACTAAATTTCGACATTTTTGAGCTGGTGTATTTCACTGGAGGTAACTGCTTTTGTTCTGTTAAGTTGTTAAATTTGTGCATTTGCTGGTAGGATCACAGGTGTAAGTCCTTTACATCAAATTAGGGCTTTTATTCTATTGTTTTTGACAGTTTTACCATGTTTTTTCTGTTCTCTCTGGTAGCTTATTTGTAGGTGTGAGTATATAGGGCTAAATTTTGTGCTAAGTAAAAGTTCCTCATATTTTGACATACTTTGTAGTTATAGTTGATATTTGATTCTTCGTTATCTGCATTTCTCGGCTTACATTTTTTTTTTGGCATGTTCCTATTCTTAACTTGTTGCAGTGTTATCAAGATTGTGCTCCAGTTTTGCAAGGAGAACTCTCTTCAGCAAACATTTCAGACATTGCAGAGTGAATGTCAGGTCTCCTTGAACACAGTTGACAGTTTAGAGACTTTTGTTGCTGACATAAACAGTGGGAGATGGGATGCAATACTTCCTCAAGTTTCTCAGCTTAAGCTACCTCGTAAAAAGCTCGAGGACTTGTATGAACAGGTAATTCTGGGGTTCCTTCTTACCTTCTCTACGCGGGAACTTGCATGAACCAGTAAAAGTTTTAGGGTGGACATGGGGAAATCATAGTCCATTGGGTTGTTATCGTCAATTGAATTGATGGATGGTGATGGGGGAGAATGGTACCTGCTCCCTTTTGATCTCCATCCATTACAGTGGAGGGTAATGAGCCATTAGACTTGGTAGTTGGGGATATTTTTTGTGGATTGTATTGTATTCAATGTTGCCGTACTTATCCACCCTCAGATAGCTGCATATAACTGTTTCCTTCTTTGTCTTCTGGTCGGTTTCTTCTTTGTATTCCAGTTTTTTATCCCATTTTCTTGATTAATAAGTATGTAATTTATCTATAGTTTTTATAATAGTATTGTTATTTCGTGTTATTTAGTATCCATTGATTAATTGTATCTATTCTATTGTAAGTGTTTATCTATATATTTGATTTACATTATATGCCTTTCAGATTGTCTTGGAGATGATAGAGCTTCGAGAGTTAGATACTGCACGTGCTATTTTGAGGCAAACTCAAGTGATGGGTGTCATGAAACAAGAACAACCTGAAAGATATTTGCGCCTTGAGCATCTATTAGTCCGGACTTACTTTGATCCACATGAGGTTTGCAAATTTATCTCTAGAAACCAACAATTGGTTTTTCTGACTATGCTTTTATCCTCTTTTCTTTCTCATATTTGTTGATTTTCTTTGCAATCTTCTAAATGGAATCCATTTTATCAGCTTGTCTATCTTTGATTAGCTTGTGTTGAGTTAATTTATTTATTGTTTTGGCATCGATTTTAAATGGGATATTGAAATCGTTAACCGTGATGTATCACAGAGCTTTCAATGTATATTATTTGTTTTAACTTGTGAACAGCTAGCTCACAATGCTAGGAGAACATCTTGAATTTGCACACAGGATTTGTATTGAGATTTGAACACCACATTTATGCAGGCAACTGTGCTTACTGGTTCTAACTTCTAGTTTTATTTTACCTGTCCTTATGACTATACTTTTCCCTTTCATCATTTTTTTATCAACACCAACGACTAGCGCATTCAAGGTCATGGTTACATTCAAGGCATTTGAACCTTTAGCATAAGCCTATTGTATTTTAGAGAGGAACAATTTTGTATATGAGCCTCATGACATGCTTTGGTTAAGTTGTGAGCTTGTAGTTCGATGCACCTTAAAAAATGTGAAGCGTCAGGAGAGCTCGTTTCTATTTAAATGAATTTATGGTTTGAGATTCTGTAAAACTCCTTGTTCACTTGAAATTTTATTAAGTGATGTTCACTTTATGAAACATCAATAGTTTCATACATTATACCTTTATGATAGTTTTGTAGATTAATATTGGCTTCATGTTTTCATTCAGATTATTGTAGTGCCATTCTTGTCTTTCTCTGCAAAGTGGCTTACAATGGCTGTTATAGTTTTCAAATGTGGACCCATTAACGATTTTGCCTTCTGTACGTGTAAGAACATGTGTTCTGAACTTGGCTTTTTTTTCTTTTTTACTTATTGCCTTGTTGCCAGTGCTTATAAATTTCAAATTGGAACTATTTTTTTGGGTAGGGATTTTCTGTGCCTAATTTAGTTACATTATGACTCGCAGGCATATCAAGAGGCATCCAAGGAAAAGCGTCGTGCACAAATTGCACAAGGTTTGGATGCCTTGTTGAAGCTGATGACTTTCATATTTTTCCTCTTTTGAGTTTGTTATTTCTAATGGTGGTTAGATAGTCTATTTTTTTAAAAATTAACGATATTTTTTTTTTTTTGAAATATAAACTTAACTACAGGATGTTTTTTAAAATCTCCTGAAGCCATTTTAGTTTGTCCAAGTGATGTCAGATTCTTTTGTTCCTACATCTACTTTCACATTTTCTTGAAGTACATTATAGAAAAAAAAACCCTTCTCTTCTTGTTTCTGACTTTTCATGGTTGGATTCATCAGCTTTGGCCGCTGAAGTTTCTGTTGTGCCCCCCTCTCGGCTGATGGCGCTGATTGGGCAGGCGCTGAAGTGGCAGCAACACCAAGGTCACCTGTCACTAAATTTTTCTTTGAATATAGAACACATGTGATGGCTTGACTGATTGTCAATTAAAGCATATGTCTGGGCACTGATTGTATGGTTGCTTGCTTTTGGCCTCCCCAGGACTGTTGCCTCCTGGAACACAGTTTGACCTATTCCGTGGAACAGCTGCAATGAAACAAGATGAAGAAGAATTATTCCCCACTACACTTGGTCATACCATAAAGGTTACATGTGCATGTCTATTCGGACTCACATGTTCTATTTTCTATGTTATTCAAATTCATAAAATATTTTGGTGCTCTAATAAAGTACTTATTTGTCAAGGAAAGGTCATTTTCTTAGATTATGTTATGATAAAATTTCGATGTTTGAATTTGTTGCAGATGTATTTACCAAGCTAGTTATTTACTTATCTAATATTGTTCTGGTTCAAAGAAAAAATTAGCATGGATATTTTTTCTTCTTGTTCTGCTATTGTGATCTGGGATTTCGGGTATTGAGAATGGAGTTCACCTTTTGCTTATTATGATCTGCATCTTGTCTACAGTTCGGAAGTAAAAGTCATCCTGAATGTGCTCGGTTCTCACCAGATGGGCAGAACCTTGTTTCTTGCTCAGTTGACGGAATTATTGAGGTATATTGAACTCAAGGAATACACACAAATTTTATCTTTTTAGTCTTTACTAGTACATATGCTTTTTGCTCTCTAACTTGTTGTCATTTTAGGTCTGGGATCACATAAGCGGAAAGCTTAAGAAGGATCTTCAATATCAGGCTGATGTAAGTTTTCTAAAACTTTTTGTGCGTTGATAGAACAATTTCTGCTCTAGTTTGCTACTAATATCGTGATATAGTCAATCCTAGAGCTCCTATGAAAATCAATCGTAAACCAGCATACACACACACACACACACACACACACACAATCACATGTATAGGATCTCAACCAGTAGCAAGATTTCCTTCTTTGAAATTTGAATTCCTGCATAGTGCATTAGTCATTGTATGTACTTCTAAGACTCTATTTTAGAACATTATGAAAATGCTCTCTTTTTCAAGTGAAACGACCTAGTATTCATCATTTTAGCTGTTAATATATGATAGTAATGAATGCCTTGTAAATGATAGCTGGCCTGTGCAGAAATGAGTAGAAAAATTCTTATGTTAAGTTATTGCACGCACAATTTTTTTCTTGGACATCGGAAGACTTGCTACATGACAATTTCTGATGTCTGTCTGTTCTTGTTGTGTGCCCTTGGCCGGCTAGTGTGTGTCAATGCATCCAGCCCAATCAAAATGATCTGTAGTTTCAAACAGAGGTAGCCAATGATCCTATGGGTCACCAATTACTGCCGGATGAGGGCATAAGGAAGCAAACACATAGTGTAAGCCAGTATTTTAAACTCACTGAGCCGGCTCGGAACCACCCTAGTCTGTTTGGAAACGGTGGGGTCCGGGCCTAAGACTTCCTGGTTCCACAAGTTCTTAGCGATTTTATTAATTTTTGTAATTTTCCATACAAAAAAAACCAGAAATGAGCCAACTTGGTTAGTTTTGAGGCAACTTGGAACCCCGTGGGTTGACCGGTTCTGTTCTTAAACATTGATGTAAATTAAATTCATACTATTTTAGATGAGTTGTAGTTTTGGAAGATAGGACTGTCAACTAACTTCCGATAGTACAACTGGGATTCTATCTCCCTTTATTTAGGTGATTTGTGAGGTAAGAGAGAAAGGTAATCTGAACCATTTATCTTGAAGATCAGCCATCATGATCTAGAGTGAATTTTTAGGAACCTTATCCCCTAAGATTTGACCCATATCTTGTCAAAATTTATCTCTAGAATTATCTAGAACAATCTAGGATATTCTAGGAATCCTATTCTCTCACAAATAGATAATTAGGAATTCAAATTAGTTTAAATTTGGTCTAAGATAACTAGATAACAAGAAAATCACTACAAAAAATTTTAAAGAAGATTTCAACCAAAAAATGTTTTTCACTTGAAAAATATTCCACAAAAATATTTTATTAAGAAAACATGTCCTATGTTAAACGGGGGCGTCCCAATTAATGGGATGTGTGGCCCCTAGTGGGGGCCACGTGACACCCTCTAGTGGGGCCCACACATGTGGGGTTGGGCCCTTAGCCCCTCCACATGGTTCCCACACAATTTTATAAATTTTCCAGAATGCCCGTGTAATTTAAAAAAATTTAGAAATGCCCCTTTTGGGTTTTTACACAAAATTTATTTTTAAAATTCCAAAATTCACATTAACACATTTTAAGTTGAAAACAATATTTCTAGAGTTCAATAAAAACAAAAAACACAGAAATACAACTTACTAACTTAGAAGTGGATAGGTACCTAATGGGTCAAAAACAAATAAATATTAGGGCACTCCACTCGTGCCAGGACCCATGATCCACTACTATCCTCTCAAACTAATCCAACGAAACCCATGACCCACAATCAAGTGCAGTTGCTCATGATTGACCCATTAGAGTTAGTCAATAAATAGTGGAACCATAGTCCTAGTATGTAGATTACAAGTTCCCCCCCACGAGCAAGTTAGATGCACACAATGCAAGTGGGCTTTCTCTGCGCACATGTACATGTGTCACTCTATATAGGTTTGCTTCTCAAAATGCAGCTGTCATATGTACATGTTGTGCGGAAGTTTTGTTGAGGATTTGACCATCGCTCTCACAGGCCCCCTTCCTTTGCACATAGGATTGTTTAGGATTGATGTCTTCTATTATGAGGAAATAGATCTGCCAAGGTGGAGTAAAAAAGACGACTTCGGAGGGCCGTTAAAAATTCGGATATATCCGTACATGGGATTCGATATATCTGGGACTTAATATATATCCATATAAGGGTATTTCGGTAATTTGTACCATCTATTTGAAACTCTATATATATTGTTGCGATTGGGGGTTTATCTAGGGTTAAGGGAAAAAACGCAGATTGCTATGTAATCAGAGAGGCGTGAGGAAGAGAGCTTTTTGTAACCCTATTCTCCATTGCCAGTAAAGAAATTCTCATCTCTCGTGGACGTAGGCACGTTGTCGAACCATGTATATCATTGCGTTGTGGTTGGTTGTCTCTTTCTTTTGTGTTTGTTTCTTCTTTCTAGTTTTCGTGGATTGCTTTTTGTTTCTACAAGGATATCACACAATTCTCCGGGCCTACAAACAACATGAGTGGGCATCTCTTTGACCTCAACAAAGGATGACCCATAATAAACACTTAATGGAAGTGCCACATGCTGCGGATTAAGGGTTTTGGATATGACCTGGGCCATAAACTGCCCTGCCCAACCCTAGGTTAGTCACCACAACACATATCTACTGAAGTGTATAAAATCACTATATGATTTTATTTACAAGCTCTCTAGGCCTTTAAAGGCCACAAAACATCAACAAAATTGAGACTACAACTAGTATTTAAGAAATTTTATGTAATGCAAACTTCTTTCCGAGAGTATAGCTTTTCACCAAGATGTCCATTTGGGGTGATCCAAAACACAAATTTGAAGATCTTCCCGTTATAACAACTACCATTTATGTGATTTTTCACCAATTTGGGTGGGCTACAGATCATGGTTACAAGTCTGGTCACAAATCTCAAATCTATTTCATTGGGGTCTTAATTTTATTCAGTAGTTCTCTATTATTTCTTTACAAGTGTTAATTGTCTAGGTTTTCCTTTTCTGGAATTACAGTCTTTTTCTTTTTGATGGTTTGTGCACCACCTGTCCTTTCACTAGTTTCCTTTTCATGTAAGGTGTCAACTTTGTAAAAGCTTGGTTTCCTCACTATAAAGGTTTCCTAAGGTCGGTAATATTTGAAAGCTGGTTTCTTGGGCAAGTCTAGTATGGACTGGTGTCCATGCAAAGTAAGATCAGGGTTCCAAAAACAGGGGTGTGAGCAATTGGCCATTCATTGTAGGTTGAGAAAAAATTGGCTTTTTGAGTTTTGACGATGTTGACTTCATACTCGAGGTTTCGATGCTTTACCCCTTGCATGGTGTTGATGACATGAAACCTTGGTTATGCATAGTTTGATTCTATGCCACTATAGCCTTCCCTAGTTTCGTTCAGGCATTGTTTCATAAATAAACTTAGGACCCCCTAACGTTGTATGGTGCTGCTTCCATTCTTAGGGCTTAAGCTTCTCTCTCTTCTTGCCTTTCAACCATGCTCTTCACATCTTCATCATCATCTCCACAGTCCATCCAAAGCTCCAACAAACCTTAATCAATTACCCATGACCCTTTTTCTCTGTATCATTTCTGTATGAGCCCCAGTTTTACGACTTTCACCATGTAACTGTATCCTACTAACCCTAGTTAACCAAATAGCAGCCACAATTCATCTCTAAATCTAGCAGACCATCTCTATTCAAACCTACCTAACCTTCTTAAATACACCCCATGCATCATCATCATCATAGCCTTTTCCCAATTAATTGGGGTCGGCTATTAAATACACCCCATGAAATGACAAATACAGAGTCTACTTCCTGGATGGCTAAAATCAAGCAAGTTTATCTTTTGAGTAAACCTTAAAATTAGACCTTAACCTCTTCCTGAGCCCTCCTTTTACGTTATATTTCTGACAACCCTAGCTCAAAATTGCTGTTGCATCCGAAGCCTACTGTTAGAGCTCCCCTTCACTTCATGCTTGTAGTTAGGGATGCTGCGTGGGAACCTCCTCCTCTACTGAAGACAATTTTGGAATGACCTGCCTACAAGTCCTAAACGGTCTGTGCTAGTTGATTAGCTGCCTCTCATGGTGGGGCAATGTTTTAAGTTGACGAACTTATGCTGCTGGTGCTTCCTGGTCTCAGGGCATCTTGCTTTTGGGTGCAATAAGTCTTGGTTGATGAGATTCCATGAGACTAGAGTGATTTGGTTGGAAACTCTTTTGGCATGAGGCCTTGGTTAGACAATTCAGATTTCAGACTGAGGGCTTGTAAGTAGGACTTGGAGGATCTCCGTGAGCACTAGGCATGGGGCTTACAAGCTTAGCAAACACCAACAGGCCTTGGTGGGACACAGACCTGTATAACACATAGAGATTTTGGTAGGGTGGCCTGTGTGTAGACGTGTGGCTGATGCGACACCTGAGAAGATCATGTGTATGGACCATCAATAGTTTTTAATAGTTAATTGATGAGTTCAAGTTATGTAACGACTGCATGTGGGCTTATGTAATGGCTGTAGGTCACTTGTGAATTGGTAAGGTTTACATATAAGGGGGTCCTGTGTGCGTATAATGACTTGTAACACTTAGGCATGGATCAGTGGGCATTATGCATGGTGTGCACTAATGGCTCGAGGAGTGGGATGACAAATTCAGTATTGCAGTTTAAAAAAAAAAACATTTTACACTTCATTCTTTACAAAAAAAAACTTTATCTTTCACAAAAAAAACTTCGGTCTTTTCAAAAGACTGTCAAAGAAATTTTTTTTTTAAGAAAGAAATGATGAAACTGTTGTTTTTTGCTTTTTCCCAAAAAAAAAGCTTTTGAAAAAATTCGCTACTTTCATGTGTCTCCTAATTCTTTTTTTTTAAAAGAAAACTTCATTCTTTACAATAAAAACTTGATCTTTCACAAAAAAAACTTCTGTCTTTTCAAAAGATTGTTAAAGTTTTTTTTTTTTTTTAAGAAAGAAATGATGAAACTGTTGTTTTTGGCTTTTTCCCAAAAAAAAGCTCTTGAAAAAATTCTCTTCATGTGTTTCCAAATTCAAAAAGGAAAAAACTTCCCTTGTCTTAATTGATTTGAATTTTTGAAATTCGGCAAGTTCTCTTAAAATTTTGAAACTTCCCTTTCTTAATTGCTCTGAAATGTTTGAAATTTGGTAATCAGATAACTTAGTAAATGTATGATTAAATCAAGAATCTTGAATCAAGTGCAAATGCATTCCCAAAAAAATTTGGAACTTGCAAAACAATTACTTCCCAAAATTTATTTTTGATGTTTCATTTTTTTCTGAAACTTCCCTATCTTCATTGATTTGAAATTATTTGATTGCCAAATAAATGTAAAACAGTATTTCACGAACATATTTCCTAAAAAATATGGCCCCTGCCCCCTAAAAAAAACACAAAAAAACAATAACAAAAGGCGTTTCAAAAAAAGAGAAAAAACTCACCAAATATTTCCCCATAAAGGACCATATCCCCTAGATAAGAAATGTATTTCCAAAAGAAAAAAAATTAAAGGAGTGGAATGGTTACCACCCCAAATGATGTCGATGATGGTGACGCGTGGCTATATGACTACAAGAACACACCTTCCCAATCTCTTAACCCTTCTAATAAGGGAAAATGCCTTAATCTCCACTCTCTAATTTAGGGTCCACATAGACCCTCAGGTCTATGTAAACCATGTGTGCCCCCGCCAACCTTAAAAAATGGGATGAATAGCCCCCTCTTCACTTTTTTTTTTGTTAAATTCACTGAAATACCCATATTTCAAAAATATTAAAATCATTAAAACCAAGAAGCGGCAAAATCTTAGCACAAATTTTACCAAAAAATGGCTTGAGATGCATTTCGTTGCTTCTCTCTTCATTTACTCCATTTTCCCCCAAAACCCTCTCTCTATAAATTTATCTCCGCATTTCTTCCCCTTTTGGCATATGAAAGACCACATCATATTGCTACTTCAGTATATCATTATAATCAGAGCCTTATCTCAACTATTTGGGGTCGGCTACAAGAATCATATTCCCCCATTCTACTCTATCAAGGGCCATACCCTCAATAAGATCCAATGTTCAAGAAGGCGGATGCAACCGCCTAGGCGGCCTAGGGTTTGGGCCGCCTAGGTGGGCATCGAGATACCTGGGCTGCCCTAAGGGAAGGGGGTTGGGGTGGGGGCTGTATGTTGTTTTGGGGTGGGAGCCATATGTTGTTTTGTTTGTGTGTTTTGTGAATGTGTTTGTGTATGTGCATGCACACGTATGTGTATGTATGAGGTCTCGCATGAAACTCTTAAAGATCATCCTCTTTTTTTTCTTCTTTTTTTCTTTTGGAACTGTATTTGTGAGAGAGATGTCTCGAACACTTGGAGGATATGGAGAGAGAGAGAGAGAGAGAGAGAGAGAGAGAGAAGAGAGAATGGAAATACCAAGCTTTATTTTCGTTTGGGTAGATTTGAAATTTTTTTTTAAGGGGCGGCACTAGGCGGGTTCCCAGATGGCCTAGATGCCCGCCTTAGGCATGCCCGCCTTGACGTAGCCTAGGCAGTTTGTTGACTAGGCTGCCTAAGCGGCAAGGCTGCTGAATTTTTGTTCACTGGTAAGACCATAAGTTCCCATATATTGTCACTAGTTCCATCCATGTCCTTTTGGGCCTTCCTCTTGCCCTTTTAGAGCCTTCCTCTTGAACCAATTTATACCTTCTAACTGGTGTTGTATGGGGTTTGCTCTACATATGGCCAGCCCTCCTAAGTCTACTTTCCCTCATCTTGTCATCTATTGGAGCTACCCTTAAGTTCCCTTGAATATATTCATTACGAATTTTATCCATTCTTGTCTTGCCACTCATCCATCTCAACATTCTCATCTCTGCTACACTCATCCTTTGGGTATGTCATTTTTTGACTACTCAACATTCCATCCCATAAAGCACGACTGGTCTCACAACTGCCCTATAGAACCTCCCTTTTAGCTTCATTGATATGCGGCGATCACATAAAACCCCAGTTGTGCATCTCCACTTCACCCACCCAGCTCTAATTCTATGTGCGACATTTTCATCAATCTCTTCATTTTTTTGGATTATTGACCTAAGCTATCGAAAATAATCTCCTTTAGGTATTTCCTAACCATCAATCTTAACTATTTCTAATATTCCTAAACTTACATTTCATATATTTTGTCTTAGTCCGGCTAATTTGAAAACCTTTAGATTCTAGAGCATCCCTTGAAAGTTCTAACTTTGCATTGATACTACTTCTAGTCTCGTTGATTAAAACTACGTCATCCACGAACAACATACACCATGGTACCTCATCTTGTAAATGCCTTGCTAACTTGTCCATAACTAAAACTCACTCTTCTCTCAACAGTTGTCCGCACACTAGTTAGCGCTCCCTCGTACATATATTTCACTATATCAATATAGCATCCGGAGACTCCTTTATTTTCCAACACCCACCAAATTTCATCTCTCGGTACTCTATCGTAAGCTTTCTAACATACTACTTCATTATATAATTGTTAATTTATAGCTATAGATCCCTTCCAATGGTTCAGACAAGGGGGTACCTATAGCCTAGAGTATAGAGCAACATATCCATTCAATGCTTACCTGACCAAAACATCCTGCGCCAGTCATAATTACATGGCCATCTGGCCTAACAGCTATCAAATCAGACCCACCCTTTTATGTCTACCGCGGCACATTCCACTCATTGGACAAGAGAAGGGCCTGGCTCCCCAGGGGGTGTAGGTGGTTTGGTTATGCCACGTGTTAGCTCACACTTTGAGGCATTGATGCACCAAGCATGATTGGTTGGTGTTCGTTTATCCATGTGTGGGCGTTACGCGTCATTAAGCCATGTAGGGGCCGGCCATTAGATATACATCTTACCCACTTACACATGGCTTATTGCCATTACATGAGCTCCATGCTGGCAGTGATTACATAATTTGAATTCCTCAGTTGACCATTGCCTATCCATTCACCTGCCTAGCTTAGGTGCCATATCGTCTACACCTGTGCAAATACGACTGCTTGCCATTAATGCCTATGCGCTAGGCTGGGTTATCTTTGGCCAAGGCGTATTGGCATTGGTCGACCTCATAGGCCTTATGCCTTTTGTTTGCAGTTCTCCTCCAACTCCCATGTACAAGCATTATGTTTGAACCAATGTTCACAAAATCGAACTGGAACGGTTAACTAGACATGGGGCCATAAGCAATTTAACCGGCCTAACCGGTAAACTGCCAGGTTCAACCATTCCAACCGGGCAAGTTCCAGCCAATCAAAAAATTGTTGAAAAAAATAAAAAAAGATACAAAAAAATCTACTAAAATATAAAAAGCATATAAAGCATGGTTAAAACAAAACACATTCAAATGAAGTTGAAAATTAATGAAAGAAATAGATTTTAACAAATTGATTTGTGCCTAGGGGTATTTTTAAAATTTTCTGAAAAAGACGGGAAAATATAAAAGTGAGTATTCATGACCAAAACAATGTCTAATCTTTACCAAAATGTGAAGAATGTTAAAAAATGTATTACAAACCAAATTCCTTATTTTTGGAATTTTATATACATTTTTTTTTTAAACACCAGCCAATCATCAAAACCGCCCGAAATCGGAACCGGCCAATGGCCGGTTCCAATCTAACCGGGCGGTTACGGGTTAGATCACCCTGTTTTTCCATCATGGGTTTGAACCATCTAGCCTAGGAATTCATTCCTAGGGTTTTGCCAGCCAACCCACTTTGGTTTCATGGGCACTCGCCCCTTAATGAGCTGTGTACCCAGGGGCTGGATGTCTAGAGATCAGCTACTACCCTTACTTAGGTTTATAGACTCGAAAGAGTACTTTATCAAGATAATCCACAACAAGCATATGTCTGTAACAAATTTGGAGGGCTGTGATCTGATTTATTTCTAGTGGCAAGGGAGGTTCCCGAATGCCTACCTGAATCCCCATGCATGAAGCCAAGAAGAATGTCCGACACCTATCACAGTTAAAAACCCTAATCAGGCCCAAATTCTGAAACTTTCATTATCCTATCCATATTAGCAGCCTCATGGCAATTTGAATTCCTTCAAATTCTATTTATGTTAGGAGTCTTAATCCAATTCAAATTTCTACATTAATTCTAACCCCATCCCCTAGTTCCCAAACTATTCATCTACCAAATTATCTGCTTATGATATTGCATCTATGCTTATAATAACAATTTACATGGGTTTTTGGTTCCATTGTGATTTTTTTTTTCCTCTTAATGAGTAAGTGTTTTTCTTACAATTTTAAACTTCATATCTCTTCCTATGTGAGGAAATTACTTGCTTTTTTTTTTTGGTTAGGTTTCGTGGTCAATTAATTTCTACTGTTCACTCTACTAAAGCTTTTGGAAATGTGTTGTTTTTTAATTATTGTCAGGAGTTCCCTGAAATTGAATATGTTTTTGTTCGTTATGGTGTTTTCATATCTGTATAAAAGTAGATGTTGAATTTACCTCAAATTGTAGGTGATCAGAAAACTTATATGCCTGTCCAAGCAGTTTCGTGATATATTGCTCTCTATTTATGCTTCCCATCTTTAATGGTAGTCTTTGAAGTGTTGTTGGTCTAATTGCTTGTCCATGCCTAATATGTGAATTTTAGATAGTGCCCTTACGTATGTTCTCTTCTAATGCTTTTCGACTATTATCACATATAGATATTGCCCTTATGTATGTTTGCTTCTAATGCTTTTCGACTATTATTACATATGCTAAGATACTTCATTGAACAATTCCTTAGATGTTGCTTTCCTTTTGAAGTTGGATATATTTTAATCATGTGTTAGACTTGCAGGATTCATTTATGTTGCATAATGTTGCTGTCCTTTGTGTGGATTTTAGTAGAGATTCGGAGATGTTGGCATCTGGATCACAGGATGGGAAAATTAAGGTGACTCCCTATCTAATGATTCTCGAAGTAATACCCAAAAATGAGTTTCTATGGGAAATTTTTAGTGCTTCTTTTACCTTTTGAGGTTTCTTTTTTGTGTTTCTGGGGTTTCTTTCTCTTCCACCTTACACTTTTAGATGTGTTTCATGTCATGTCTTCCAAGCAGCAAATCTTGAAACCAGTGGTTTAAAAAAGGGATCGGTGCCCCGAATCGGGCACCCCAAAAACCCATCCGGATCGGGAATCGACTGAATCGGTCGGATTAAGCCTTAAAAAAAAAATCCAAAAAAATTATTAAAATTCATTATAAATGTTGTTTTTCAGTAATCCAATAAGAAAAGGGGGTACTACATTATTAACTTTCATTTTTTTCTTCAATATGCGAATATTGAGATGTTCTTTCCTTGTATGAACTTATGTTAACCATTAAATTTATATCACACAAAAGAAAAATCATAGAATTATCATGGATGAAGTAAATAATCATATATAAACTACAATAAAGAATAGATTAAATCGATGAAAAAATGGCCACAAAAATCTCGAATTGGTGGAAAACCCTAATCCACTAAAAAAAATCCAAATTATTACAACCTAACTAACTATAATCCAAAATTATTACAACCTAACTAACTATAATATTATATACTTAAATTGAAATTGTTGGTTTACATTTTATAATTATTTTACTATACAAATAATAACAAATCCAAAATATTTTAATATCATCTAATTTAAAATATATTATTGACAACTGTAAGAAAAAATAGTACATTACATAATTTATAATGCAAATAAATTAATAAATAAAATAAAATATTTGGTTATCAATGTAGAAATTATTAGAATGCGTACCAATTTTCAAAATAACTCTTTAATTTTTCAAAAATCTAATTTTTTAGATTTCTATAATAAATTTAGTGGAAGAGATTGTTAGTGGAGAGAGAGAGATTTCAAATGGCCTCATTGTATGAACCCTATCTTTAAATTAATATTCCTAAATTTATGTTAAATACCACCATGTTATAAAAATAAAAAATATAATTCGACCATTTATTCTTAGGTAAAAAAAATCTAACGATAGGCATTCATAGAAGAGAGAGAGAAAAGAGCTAACATGCTCCGAGCCTATATTGTATTACCTTTGCATATCTAACTTGATCTTATAATAATCGCAACTTAAATGCATGCTTGAAAAGCATGATACTTGTTGTATTACCTTTTATTTATTTTTTGAAAAGAAATACTTGTTGTATTACCTTTTATGTTTTTTTGACAAGAAAAATATGATACTTGTTGTATTACCTTTTAGTTTTTATTTTGACTAGAAATACTTGTTGTATTACTTATTATTTTTTTTGACGAGAAAAATAAGAAAAAAACAAGAAATACTTGTTGTATTAAGAAATACCTTTTATTTTTTTCTAGACAAGAAATACTTGTTGTATTACCTTTTTTTTTTTTGACAAGAAAAATATAATACTTGTTGTATTACCTTTTATTTTATTTTTGACAAAAAATACTTGTATTACTTTTTTTTTTTTTGACTAGAAAATAAGAAGATAATTTTATTTTTGACAAAAAATACTTGTTGTATTACTTTTTTATTTATTTTTGACGAGAAAAATAAGAAAATAACAAAAAATAAAGATGGTGCCGCCAAGGAGGTTCGAACTAGGGACCTCCAAGTGGGTAAGAAGATGTGGTCATCAAATATACTACACACCGCTTGTTATAATGTATACATGAATAAATGGTTATATTATAAAGCAAAAGTATATTAAGGAATTGTCCCACATCGACAAGATGTGGGAAGAAGGAAGAAGAGGCTCTATAAAAGAAGAAAACCAACCTCACTACAATGCATTTTCAATGCGTGGCGACGTGTAAAGGGGTTGGGCGACGCGACCCTGGCGTCATCAGGGCGATTTATGACATCATTTTAATGTGTAAGGGAAGATTCTGATCTATGACATCATCATACACCGATTTATGATGTTATACACTTGATTCACTGTATAGAATCGCCAGTTCTTCTCTAGAACCGAGTGATTCAACGTTTTACACAAGAATAGACACGGGGTGACTGATTCCCATGTCGACTAGGGCAAATCCGTTGCGACTCGCAGATTTTTAAAACACTACTTGAAACACATTTTTACATCCGTTAATCAGGGTTCATCTTGGCATTAAAAATAACATCATATTTTGCTCTGATATGCTTAACTGTAATGCTTTTAACAATTTTTTGTTTATTTAGCAACTAAAGTGTTTGTGCTTTTGAAAGATGTCATGGATGTTTGAGTTGGTTGACCTGCATTGATGCAGTTTCATTGATGTCATTGACAATGCTAGAAAATTCGGTCGCTCAACTACCTAGGTGAAAAAATTTTAAAGACGCCTAGGTGCAGTATGGGCGGTCAAGGCGCCGCCCCATGACAGTTTGCGGGCGAGCGGAAAAAAACCCTTGGTGAGGGTAAAAAATGTAAGTTTTCCCCCTAAACGAGGGGGAAAAAGGTTTTAGGGGGTATTCTAAACTCCCAATAGAAAAATTGTAGCCTTTAGGGTGAAAAAAAGCCCCCAAAAACTTCTCTTTTATGATCTATTGAAATATCGATAAATTTTTTATTTTTTCGATTTCTTCACAAAACAAAAGCAATAGTTCGTGGGTGGATTTGGAGCTTTTAGTAGTTGATTTTGAGAAGTTTTGGCGACCCAATAGACGAGGTTTGGACCGACATCGATTTGATTTTGATATTATCATATTTGGAAGAGGGTTTTGATTTTATTTTGCTACAACATAGTATGTTATGACATATGTGTTTTTTCTTTTACTTTTTTGTTTTTCTTTTTTGATATATTTACATGTTTGTTGTTAAAAGATTAATTTTTTTTTTGTGATTAATTGAATTTTTTTCTCATTTATGTAAATATGTTATGTGATTGTACTCATTGTAGTATTGTATTGTTGTATTTTTATGTTTTCGTCTATTTCATGATCACGAGGAGTTTAGGGCTCTAAAATTGCCTTAAAAACTTCGTAAGGCTTTAAATCATGCCCTAAGAACTCCCATGTTTTTTATGTTTGGGGTGAGGGGTTTTGATTTTGATGAGGGCATCCTGTCTTTGGGCGCTTGCCGAGGCAGCCAGGTACCCAAACCGCCTAGGCTGCCAACTCCGTCTTTTTGAACATTGGCCATTGATGATCATTAAGTTAGTTGATGAGAGAAATCTTCTATAAGTGTTCAATATTAGATCTCACACAACATGGTCATGGCATTTCTGTTTTAGGTTTGGCGCATACGTACAGGACAATGCCTGCGCCGTCTTGAGCGGGCACATTCTCAAGGTGTCACAAGTCTTGTATTCTCTCGAGATGGAAGTCAGCTACTAAGTGCATCCTTCGACAGCACAGCGCGGTATTTTGCCTAATTGAAGGCATTTCTTCATCAGTTGACTTGATATTTTGTCCTGAATGGGTTATTATCGTTACTTATATATCACGAGTCTTCACCCTTCCATAACAAAACTGTGTGCAAGCCAATGTTCCTGAACCCAAAATTTTGTGTTTCCCAGACTTCTCTTTAGTATTTCAGATGTCAGTCATTACATAATTTACCTGAAATGCAATGGTTGATCTGACCTGTATGCTTGCTATGGCAGTATTCATGGGCTCAAGTCTGGAAAGCTGTTGAAAGAATTCCGTGGTCACTCATCTTATGTTAATGATGCTATCCTTACAAGTGATGGGAGTCGTGTAATTACTGCTTCCAGTGATTGTACTGTAAAAGTAAGTTGGCCTTGTCCAACATGTGGGAATTCATTGTCATTTTCTGCTTATAAATTCTTCTTGCTATATCTAGCTATAATTGTGGAGGGATGCCAAATTATCTTTTGGTTTATTTGCAGGTCTGGGACACGAAGACAACCGAGTGCTTACAGACATTTAAACCTCCACCTCCTTTGAGGGTACTGTTCGCACTTAAATTGATACACCCCTTCATTTTCAAAGAAGGAAAACAGAAAACAAAAGAAATGATAAACCACCATATCACCATGTTGGGTGTCTATTTTAATTCAGTGCATCCATGTTTCTCTTTGGATCATTAGGGTGGCGATGCATCTGTAAACTCTGTCCATGTCTTCCCAAAGAATCCAGATCATATTCTTGTATGCAACAAGACATCATCGATTTACCTTATGACACTTCAAGGGCAGGTATGATTTTTATGAGCTCTTTTAATTTATTTTTCAGAGAGAAAGATGGAACTAAGTCTCTTATTTTTACATTCAAGTTGCTGACATGCGGAAGGGGCATGATTGCTTGCTGCTTATATTCCCGTTGCTTCAGTCCATGTTGTTCCCTGTTTTTTGTCATTAGAAACTTGATATTTCTTAAGAATGAGTTCTTTCTGTGGTCAAATCTGACTCTTTGATATGTTTTGATTGCAAGTTATTTATCGGCATTTAAGGATATGTTTAGGGTCACTTGCATTGTGCTGCCCTCCTCTTTTAGGGTGTTTTCCCCTTTCTTTAAGTCCCTTCTTTTTTTTAGTAGTTGCTCGCTAGCCATTATACTTTTCATCATCATAGCCTTTTCCCAATTAGTTGGGGTCGGTTACACGAATTCCGGTCCGTCATTCTGCTCTATTAAAGGCCATACTTTCAGTGTGGCCATAAGTCCCTATATCTTTCCGAACTACTTCAAACCACGTCCTTTGGGGCCTACCCTTTACCCTTTAAGTCCTTCCACTTGAACTAACTTGCACATCCTAACAGGTGTGGTACGTGGTCGACACCACACATGGCCAGCCCACCTAAGTCTAGTCTTTCTCATCTTGTCGCCTATTGGTGCTGCACTTAAATTCTCCCGAATGGACATTATGTGATTCTTTTGATTTCTTTAAATTGTTTATCTCCTGCCTTCTTTATTACTTCTCTGCATATCGTATGCTCTTTTCTTCCTCCCATCTATATATCTTATTCGAGTCTCCCTCTTAGGGATTAGCCATATTTAGTTTGGGCTGGTTGTACACCTTTTTGGTTGTTATGCCAAAAGTATTTACTTCATGTAAGTACAGTTTTGGATACATGTCCCCAACATCCACTGTCCATATTTATCTGTGGAAAGTGGGAAATGAATCTTTTTCCGCTTTTAAAGCCGGCCTTGTTTTACATAGGAGCAATTTCTCATCTCCACTGACAGCAAATAAGGATCGATGATGGATGTTGAGTATTAGTACCTGATGCTCTACTCATACTTTCCAGTCATTTTTGCTTTATTATAGTCATTTAGTAATAAATCTTTTGTATTGCACAAAGTGCTGGTTTGGAAGGTTTTTATGAAATTTTTTTTACTCTTGCAGGTTGTAAAAAGTTTCTCTTCAGGTAAAAGAGAAGGCGGAGATTTTGTTGCTGCTTGTGTTTCTCCAAAAGGAGATTGGATCTATTGTGTTGGTGAAGACAGGTACCTCTTGTGTTATGATTTATGTTGCCAAATCATAGTGGATCTTTGAATTTCTGCAAATGATGTAATGTTGGAGTATTTGTCACTTAGCCCTTTTTGTTTATATGGTTTTTAATGTGCTTACTGTGAGGACTTTAAACTTGCCCTTAGTCCGTCCCAAGCCCTGGTAAAGGAGGTGGGTGGCGTTAGGGAGACAGCCAACATAAACTTGGCCACATTTTATCATGAATCCTAAACCTATGTTATATGCTTTTGGTCTTACTGAGGGTATGGCCTTGATAGAGAAGAATGAACATGATTCATGTAGCTGATCCCAAATAATTAGAATAAAGCTTGGATGATGATGATGTGATACAATATTTACGTAATACTAGGCTAGTTGGTGATTAGGTGGTGATAGTTACTTTATATTTTAGTTAATATGTATGATGCAGTTCTCATTTTATATATGGCTAAGTTTGTGATGATTATTTCTGAGATTGGGATCAGTTTCTTGCATTGATTAGGCTCAGGTTGAGGATTCTGGATTTTAAGGCTCAATGGACTTTAATGTTATTTTACTGGATTTTCTGTTTTTGAAATGTCAGATAAACCCAATACTGCCAAATGTTTGTATTTTTATTTTTATAATTACTGTTTGCTTTTTTAAAATGTTGCAGGAATATTTATTGCTTCAGTTATCAATCGGGTAAACTTGAACATCTTATGAAGGTAACTGTTTATCACTGGTGTTAATGCTCCATACTACTTCAGAATTAACACCTTGCTTTTGACATCACATGAAAAAGCCCATGATCTCAGATATGTAGCTCAGGTTATTAGGACTAGATCAATGATCAAGTCTTAGCTAATATTCTTCCAAATGAAATTCATTATAACTTAGTATATGCAATGGTGCTTATTTCTATTTACCCAAAAAAAATGGTGCTTATTTCTACTGTGGTGTGCGACCCTAAAACACCCATCTAAGAGGGAATTTTAAAGGCTCAAATTTTAGGGATGTCCTTTGCTTTAACTATGATTGTTTTCAAAAAATACAAAAACGACTTTGAGCTCTTAGTATCTCTCATTGTTTAACAAATGGACAGTTCGATAGTTTTTTGGATGCTCTAGATCTAGAGTTTTAAGAGCTCAAAAATCTCTCTCCCCCCCTTTTTAAGTGTTCCAGAATTTCAGGCCCCCTAAAGACACTCTAACATGGGCTTTCAGGGTGCGCACCACTGTAGAAATAGGAACTTTCTCTCATGGTTGTTAGTTTTCTCTCCAGAATAATAGAAAGTTTTTGAAAGCAAATTAATAGGGCTAAGAGCAACACTTCTTACTGTTTCAGAACACCCAATAATTTGATCGAGTGTCGTGATTTTTCCTTAAACAGCCCGACTAGAACAAGAAGTTTTAGAGGCAGCTATGAAACGTTTTTCCAGAATAACATCTGTTACATGCGTCCCAACTCGGAAGTAATTTTAGAAAGTTGCTCATCCTCTTTGTATGAAACAAGTCCAGAATTACATCTGTTACATGCGTCCCAACTCGGAAGTAATTTTAGAAAGTTGCTCATCCTCTTTGATATCCCTGTTGTGAATTCATGTATATGTACATACATGCTCACGCCTGGCTTTGAATTTATTTTGGGAGAGGGACCTGCTATTATATTTCGTAGTTTGTACTAGAATTCGGGTGCTCTTACTCAATATCTATCGTCCATATTTCCATGGTCACTAGAGTTGAGTGGCTGTTCTACCCAAAAAAAATTTGAGTACCAATTGAGCAACTTATTACAGATTGTCCCTGGACGGCAGATGTTGGGTTTGAGTACCAATTCCATACTTGTAATGTGTATGAAATATTTTCCTTTATATCATTACGAGTATAGAACTGGGTACCCAAACCCAACATTCATCGTCCATGTTTATCCAAGGATGGTGCATAATGAGTTGCTTACTTTATAGCCGCCCTTTTTTTGGGCGAGAATAATTACTCAATCCCACTCCCAATGGAACTATGGAGAATGTATATTGGGTATGCATACTGGATACTGTACTCATACATAGTACAGTACTACCTGGACCCTTTTTATTATGGGAAAATATTCTATACCCAATATTAGTATGAAATAGAGTATTTGGACCCAACAAATGCCATCCTTGTTTATCTACCCAATATTTTATTTTGGGCACGAATAGTTACTTTACCTCCTGTGGAAGTATGGATAATGAATGCTGGGTATGCATTCCCGAATGCTTAGCCTTATAAAGATATTCTAGGATAGTATCATATCCGTTTCATTATATGTAACATTATGAGAAGCTCACGTCCATGTTCATGTGTGTTTGTGCGTGCCGGTATACGTTGTGTTTTAACTGTTATGTCTATTACAGGCTCATGAGAAAGATGTTATAGGCGTTACTCATCATCCCCACCGGAACCTGTTAGTGACATACAGCGTCGATTGCACCATGAAAACATGGAAGCCCTGAAGTCTTCTTGACTCTCTGGCCTTTCCGATATCTTTTGTTTTATGCCCATGAAGCAGGAAGCGTCATCAGTTCATTTATACAAATGTAATCCCCCTGTTTCATTATCTCAAAGAGCCTGGAAATTGTATGGTTTCGAGATTTTGACTTCTAATGCACGTTGTGCATTGCATTCTCTCTCTCTCTCTCTCTCTCTCTCTCTCTCTCTCTCTCTCTCTCTTCTACTCTACTCGTACTACTCTACGTCTACTCTACTACTACTACTACTTACTTACTACTTACTACCTACTACTACCTACTACGTAC